TAGATATATCAGTGCAGATTGTGAAACGCGTGATTCCTAATTAATTATACGTGTGAACAGATTTTATTTGCAGTAATAGATTTATTTGCAGTAATAGATATATCAGTGCAGATTGGAAAACGCGTGAACAGATTTTAACTGAAAACGCGTGAATATTTATCTGTGCGGTTTCAAATATTAAATAGAAAACGCGAGGAAAAAAGAAAAATCCGGATTTCATTCCATGAATTATGCAATGCCTGAACAGATTATCGCTTAAAAAAAAAAAAAAAGATGATTAAAATCCACAACTATATATATATATATATGATTCTCTTTCAAATTAGCGTGCATAAAATAAGGAATAGTTGTTTTTTAAATTGCAAAAAATATGGCACATGTTTTAATAATTAGAAAATTTGTTATAGATATATCAGTGCCAATTTGTAATAGATATATCAGTGCAGATTGTGAAACACATGATTCCTAATTAATCATATGTGTGAACAAATTTTATTTGCAATAATAGATATATCAGTGCAGATTGGGAAACGAATTTTAACTAAAAACGCTTGAATATTTGTCTGTGCAGTTTCAAATATTAAATAGGAAACGCGAGAAAAAAAGAAAAATCCGGATTTCATTCCATGAATTATGCAATGTCTGAACAGATCGGTTAATTCAATATTGTAGTTGGAGATTGAATACACCTCGCCTTCGTTCAGTCTACCTCGAAATGTTGTCATATTCGGATAACGTATTATGCATTTAATGAATGTACCCTACGATACAAATTCATAAATATTAATTAAAATAATTTCTCAAATTATATAAAATTGAAATAACAAAGGTAAATATTACCTGTTCATCATGAAACAGTATATGGAATGCATTCCAGCTCTCCCGTTCGTGATGTGTTTCCATAATGCGGACTGCTCTCAAATGCAACAAAGGTTTGAATACAATGTCTGAATTATGCAATGTCTATTAAATTCAATATTGTAGTTGGAGATTGAATACACCTCGCCTTCGTTCAGTCTACCTCGAAATGCTGTCATATTCGGATAACGTATTATGCATTTAATGAATGCACCCTACGATACAAATTCATAAATATTAATTAAAATAATTTCTCAAATTATATAAAATTGAAATAACAAAGGTAAATATTACCTTGCATTTAATGAATGCACCCTACGATACAAATTCATAAATATTAATTAAAATAATTTCTCAAATTATATAAAATTGAAATAACAAAGGTAAATATTACCTGTTTATCATGAAACAGTATATGGAATGCATTCCAACTCTCCCGTTCGTGATGTCTTTCAATAATGCGGACTGCTCTCAAACGCAAAAAAGGTTTGTTTCTTCTGTTAACGGTACCCATCCTGGAAGCATTATATTGTCGATGTGAAGAATTGTTCTCTGTATTTTTTTTTCTCTCAACTCGTGAATGATGAGTTGTAATGGTGGAAGTGAATATCCTTTTAAACAATTTTTTTTTTCTGCACGTTTGAATTGACCGAAAAAAAATGGAAGATATTGTTTTTATTCACCAAAAGTGATTGAAGATAATTATGGATTGTATTTGGATAGATATTAAATTCCATGATTTTTGGGATGCAACAACAAAATATGCAATCATATGTAGATATCTTATCACGTTAAGGGTATATTCATTGCTAAAAAAAGGGAATATCTAATGCCTTAATTATCGGAATTATCAATTTCGTATTCCATAATCCTTATCACGATTGTTTTTCAAAATTTGATTGAGATTACATAAATAGAAAGTCAAAAGTCAACTTAATTTATTTTAGGTTTCTAAAAATGATTTTTACATCAACCTTTTTAGATATATATAGATTAAAATTTGTAGATAAATAGAAATTTTATTTATGATGGTAGATATAATTAATTTCACAGTGTATATATAGTGTATAGATGTTGAACTAAAAGATTAATATATACACAATATATACACGAGAAAGTTAAATTTTATTAGTTTAACTCTATATGTCCCACATGAAGTTTTTCAAATCATAATATTTTAACTCATACCATATAACATTGAATATCAAATTATCAATACTCTTTACCAATTAAAAATGCTTGCTAAATTTATTTTTCCTTTACTACTGCTAATAAATTTGGTATTTTTGAATTAGAATTAAAAGGAAAAATTAAATTTTCATATGTAAAGTTAGATATTTTGATTTTTATCTATTTAAGTTTCATTTTATCTATTCCATAGAAATAAAGAAAATTAGATTACTTGACAATAATTTAAACTTTCATAGGAAATATAGATTTTTTTAAATAAAGTTATAATTATTTAACAATGAAGTTTTAAAGCAATATTTAACTATTTATACACTAGCCATTCTTTAATAATAGACGGGTTAAAAATAAATAGTCAAGAAAGTGATGTGTCTTGTTTAAAATTGTGGTGCCGAAAATGTTGAATATATAGAGAATCCAAATGGGCCATCATCTTAGTTATACGATTTCGCTATATTGTCGGCAATAGTGGTGTCTTCACGGCGGCTTGCGTCTTACGTTAAAATTTAAATTACTCATACAAATAAAAAACAATAATAAAAAAAAAGATAACAAAAAAAAAGAAAAATTGTGGTTCCCGCGGTTTTTGGATTGTTTGGTTATGTGTCGCGTCTGTCTGTGTGGAGGACCATCAACTACAGCTGCCGCTGGCTGACGCCACGTGTTTTCGTGCGTTGACGGTCGTCCAATCAGGGCACAGTATTATCCATTCCAATTTTCACCCTCAATCATTGTTTGGTTTTCACTTTTCACAGTGCTTTCCCACCCACGGTAAAAAATGATTTCTCGTATTCATAATTTGATACTTTATTCATTACCCAGTCCCTACAAAACTACCATCCACATTTCAGTTTAAATTTATCTAACAAAAAGTAAATTAATTATTAGAGTATTTAATAATATTTCAATGGGCACTAAGCCATCCCGCTAAGATGTGCACTCAAGAAGCTGCCGCCCTCTTAGGACACTTTGTAATCCTCNAAAGGAAATAACTTTTGTTATCTTTTTTGCCGGCCTTGATCTTTGAAGTTTCAAATGGTTTTTAGGCCACGGAAGTGAAGTTGATGGGCTTGGGTCGACTGTTTTGTAACAGTTTGTGGTATCTGGTGCAAAAGATGGCGTATAATGTGGGCTTCATTTCTCAGTCATACTTTGGCCCACTTTCTAACCTACATCACCTTCGTCCTCGATTTACATGTATGTAAATAATATTTAAATAATATTAAAATTATACGTTAGATAATAGTATCACATTTTAAAATTTTCATTATTAGTAAAATTGAACACTATAAAAGTATTCAATCTCATCACTATATTGATTGAATAAAATAAAATAGATAATACATTGTTTTATAAATTTAAGGGATCCTGATCTATTATTATCTTAAAAATTATGATTAATATTATTTATGAAATTTTAAGAAGATTTTTTATACCGCTAAAGCCAAGTAAATTATTAAAAAATATTTAAGAGAAATAAATAGCTTAAGAAAAAGATTGCAATATAAATTTTTATACTTATTAAATTTTCATATATCATTTAAAAATTAATAGTTACTTCAGGATATACTCATCGGAGAAATGGTTGATGAGCAAAGACGAAAAAGGAGGCGGCATTCGAATACGTGTGGCAATAAATAAATCCCATCACAACTGAGAGCATTTTCAATGCTCTAATGTTGTTGTAGGATAAAATTTGACAACTGTAAAAAATAATTAAATAGATTGTGAATCATGTAGGATAAATATTGAGTTCAAAACTATTAAATTAAAAAATCATCTTTAATGCACAATGTAGTCTAATTATCATATTATCTACTTATCAAATATTAAAATTTTAATATGAATTAATAAAAATAATTAAACAATTAAATAGTTTTAAAATAGTAATAATAATTATCTCTCTGTTCTTTATTGGCTAACTAGAGTGTGGAGGAGAATGTGGATGAACCACATTCTTGTCTACATTGTAGAAATTAATTATGTCCACATCATCACAATATTTAGGATTAAATTGTGCATTAAAAAATAAAAAGTTGTGATATTAATAAATGTGTTGATGTGAAATGTAATTTATCACCACAACATTAAGGGTTATGAATTTGTTAGGAATGGGATTACTAGCGTTAGTTAACTAAGGTATTGTATCACAAATTCTTTTATGAGACTTTTTTACATTATTATGATATTTTTAGTAATAATATAAATATTTGATGTTATTATTCAGATTATGATATGTTTTTGCTTGTTCTTAATTGGTTTTTGGCGTTGGGAATAAATTTTACACATTTTGTGTATAATAAACTCGGGAGCAAGTAAATTGTGAATAGGCTGGGGTTTAAATACAAAAAATGCAAAAATATACTACTCTAAAATATATAATACTAAAAATTTCATATTTTTTTCCCAAATTTGTATATTTCTCTTTCTCAAAATGCTCTAAGTTAGCTCTAAGTTACTAATGTTGTTGTTGTAGGACATTATTTATGCTGAATTTATATAGTCCACTACACCTATAAACGTGTAATAGCATTTTTTTTTCAAAGACCGGTCAACTCAAGCACAGAACTGACAGAAGCAAGCACAAATCTGTGCCAAGCGCACGTGCCTTAAACGGCACCGCCATTATCGCCCCCCAGATCCCGGTCACTTTTCCGGTGACATTCTCATTCAAAACATTTTTCGTCGTTAGATATTCGCGTACAATAATTTGCTTTCAGACCCTGATTTCTGAAAATTCACGAAATAAAAAAGAGCAACCAAAAAAGTACTAACTACTGGCCTTTTTCCCTTTTCCGTCTGAAACTAATTTTTTATTTTCATTTTGAATTGATCGATGGAAAATACAACTAATCTAAATAAACTTAAAAAAATTAAAACTATTCACACACAAAAAAAAAATAACAAATTNNNNAACAGAGGGGACTCTCATGTCTCATACGCCTAGGCTAGCTTCAAGCATTTTCCGGCGGCGGCAGGTTGAGATCAAGATCCAGCCTCATCCCTCTGCCGACGTGCGGCAGGTCCTCGGTCGCCAATGACGAGCCCGACTCGCTCTGGGCCGGCCCATTTCCCTGAGACCGGGCCCTGCTCATCAGGTCCATGATCTCCCGCCTCGAATCTGGCCCCAGGGTGAGCATCGCCGGCGGGCTGGCCAAATACGCGCCGTGGAACGCCGGAAACACCATACACGCCGGATCCGGCGACAGGAACACCGTCTGCGTCAGGGGTAGCGGCAGCAGCGGGTTGCGCGCGGCCGGGCGGTGGAGCTCGGCGGCGGGCTCCGGCGGGGAGGGGAAATTTGTCTTGGCCCGGGGCCCGCGGAAGCGACGGGCGGCGTCGTCGTAGGCCATGGCGGCCGCCTCCGCCGTCTCGAAGGTCCCGAGCCAGACGCGGGCCTTCCGGTTCGGATCGCGGATCTCGGCGGCGTACCTCCCCCACGGCCTCCGCCGGACGCCACGGTAGTGAACCTCGCCGCCGGCCGTCATTCTCGGGCCCAACATCGCAAGGGACAAAAAGGAAATTGGGATATTAAATCTATTTTTATTATATTAATCTCTGGTTTTTGGTGGTTGATGGTGGAGAGAGAAAGGGGGGAAAGAGGAGATATATAGAGGGAGGGGGCGGGGGGTACGGGGTGGCGCGTGGCTACGTGGCAAGGTACGTGGCGAGTGTGCTAATGTGGCTGCTGCAAGGGCATTGCATGGCTTCTTATATGGTCTTTATACATTTAGTGGTATTTGCTCTCCGAGGAGGTGCTTCTGGGTTTCTGTGTACCATCCATTCTTATCCTCTAAATTTTGTGTATTCAAATTTTTTTTTTTTTCTTAGAGAAATATATATTTAAAAAATGCTACAAGTATATAATAGAGGTGTACATAATGTTCACATGGAGTGAGGTCTACTTGATTTTTTATTTTTGATCGGTCTCACTCAATATGAGTGTTATATACACCTCTATATACAATATTATGTACCTATAGCATTTCTCTATTTATTTTTTGTGAAATTTGGATAATTGTATGATATTTTGATTCACTATTGTTTAGTACTATGAAATTGTGTTAGATTTTTTAAAATGAGGAGTCCAAACTCGTGTTTTACTCATAATTTTTTTTTCCTAAAATTTTATTCATATTTTGTTAAGAAATCAATTTTGAATATTATTCTTCATATTCATCCTAAAATAAAGAAGATGACAATAATCTCTTTGTTGTTGTTCATATCTATCAATTATTTATGTTTTTTTTTATTGTCGTATGGATTTGTAACAACATAATTAACACTGAATTACATGATTTTAACGTATATTGAGATAATTTGTAATTTTTTTATTAGTAACCTAATAGGAATTGTTAGAGAGTAGTAACAGGGTGTCCTCTTCCTTTGAAGAAATTTTCACCTATTTATAGTAACTTTTTCATACATACACTTCGAGACCCTCCAATAATTCGGGTTTATATGAAAAGTAGTTCTAAATGGGCGGTTATGACAGTTGGACCCACGATCATCATGACGTAGCGCACGAAACGCAAGAATGTCGCGTAGGTGTCTCGTCACCTGCTTTAGTTTTGATGATTTCGGTTTCGCCCGAGGTTAATCGCCATGTCGGTTAAGGGGTCCCAGGAAGTCGGTAATAACCGAAGTCATTCGTCATGTCGGTTTTTGATGGTTTGTCATGTCGGTGATGAAGGGATATGGTTCCGGGTCCACAAATAGGGTACCTTTATGCTTGTCGATGACTTGGATTTTATCATCATTATGACTGATTTGGGAGTGATCTTGTTTATCTCTTAAATATCTCTTGTATTTCCAAGTCGGTAGTCAACATTCTCATAGATGATCATTATACCGCTGATGCATGCTTATGGTACCTATGTTTGAGTAGTATAGTATCTCTGTCATAAGTATTTAATACTAGTTTGTGCTAGGAACTTTGAAGTTTCATTTAACTAATTAAGTTGTAAGATACAATGAAATGGGCGCAATCTGAGTTATTAGGGAATTGTTCCTACAATAATAAATTTTTTGTCTTCTCTATACACGTCAGATTGAGTATTGAAGAAATGTACACCTTATTGGGATGTAAATTCATAATCATTCATCTTATTCTACATTGTGCCCTATGAAAAAAAAAAGCAAGTGAGTTTGTTTGATGATGACGATGTGAAGAACATATTTCGGTTGCAGGTGTGTTGGACAGGTAAGCATTGTAGATATGCTTGCCATTGAAAAAGATGAAAAATTGGATCATGGAGTTCAATACATCTTCATGAGTAGGTAATGTTGTTTCCTATATGAGTAATGGATTCATTATTGAAATATGGTATAGTTGTGTGATAATCCTATTTTATTATTGTTTTAACTAGTTCCACTATTAATAAATATTATTTTTTTCATGAATAGGGAAATCGTACCATATGACTACTTTTCAGAGGGATAATCTCAATTGTTATTGCAAGATAATTCAATTGATGCAAAAGAGGGTGACATATTTTTAATGGCGCATTTGAATTTAGAAGGCATGTTAAAAACTACGCGATTGCAGTGCTCTTTTAAGTATCGAAAAAATGATAGCCAAAACATTATTATTTGTTGAAGCGATGAAGATTGTGGATGCAGAATGTATGCATCGCGATATAAAGTAGATCAATTGTTTGCCATCCGAAAGTGCAATCTAATACATACTTGCGGAGTGTCCAATCTTCAGACGCGAGCGCATTCGAGAGCAGACTCTATTTGGATTTCTAATATAGGTATGGAAAAAGTGAGAGATGAACCAAGTTACAACCCTTGCACGATATTAAAAGACATTATGGCTTAGCAATGCTTTTACACCAAGCCTGTACACCAAATCTGAGACTTAACATTGCTCGCACACCAAGCCCGCCACTCGAATTCGACATTTTGAATTGGTGGTAAAAAATAAACGGCATTTATCCTATTCCATTGTGCAATATGGCCTAGGAGATTATTGTTGTCCAAGCCTCAACAATGGTAGTTGAACAAGCATTTAGCAGGGAGGATATATATACACTGGACGCACGACGGTCGAGGTTGAAGCCACAAAATTTGAAAAATCAAATGTTTTTTGGTGATTGTAAGAAGGTCGATCAAAGGATGCAAACGATCACGCTAACTATCGAAGAGGATATAGAAGATGATTGTTCCGATTTAACTAATGTTACAGGAAATTAAGAAGACTACCAGATCTAAGACTACAACTAAGATAACTAGAGCGTCGGTCGGTTCAACAACGCATCATGCCAGGTAAGTCCATAATCTTTCATCAAGATAAGTGAAGTAAAGGAACTGCGAGGACTTTGATTTTCAAGATAAGAGATACGTAGGCAACTTAACTGACATATTGCAAGTTAAAAAATTAGTTTCTAATCCGAAAAATTCTTCAAATTAATTGATATATTAATTTATAATTTGCCAACTAAGCCCACGTCAATTTTTTTTTTCAAAACGGCCGACCCGTCCCGATTTATTGGGTCACAGTCCATTTCGAACCCAGAGATCCGTCGGGCCGGGCCCGAGTCCATGTACCAACGACTGAGCGCATTCAAGAGGTGACTACACCTTGCGAGATGGCCAAAGAAAGTTATTGCCTAGATCGTAGAATGTGATGAACCTGAAGAAAATATTATGCTTGAATTTTTGTTGTATGCAACTCTCATGTCATTTGTGATTAATGGAGATTATTATGCTCTCACTATTTATTTATTATTTTTTTATTTTTTGATTGACGGTTTTTGGGACAAATAAGTCGATCTCGGTGACAAGACGACCTCATTATGAACTGGAGTTCCAACAAAAATCTGGCACGACTAAAGTTTTCGAGTTGACCAGTCGCTTGTTTGAATGACCCCAAAGGTAGGTCGGGCAAGTGTTAGAGCCTTGATGGCGAAACTTTGGCATTGATAAGGCTTTCGAGCTGGCCAGTCGTTTGTTGGAACGACCGTAGAGGTAGGTCCAGCGAGTGTTGGAGCCTTGATGGAAAAAAATTGACATGACTAAAGATTTAAAGTTGGCCAGTCGCTTGTTTGAATGACCTTAGAGGCAGCTCGAGCAAGTGTTTGAGCTTTGATGGAATAAATCTGACATGACAAAGGTTTTCGAGCTGGCCAGTTGCTTGAACAACCTTAGAAGTAGGTCAGGTGAATGTCGAAGCCTTGACGAACAAAAGAACTTAGTGTAATCAAAACCACTGACCTGGTTCGATCAAATTAAATGAAGCATCGATGACAATCACATTTTAGTCTCGAAAATTGAACAAGGTTGTAGTATTTTGGCCTACATTTACGAAAAAGTTGTTGAACCAACCGAAGTGGATGGTCGACTCAACTGAATATTTCTATGTTGAAGATTTCAATTTACAATGTTGCCTAAGTATGAGTTGAAGTTTTAATAAACCTCAGAGGTAGGTCGATGGAGTTAAGTCGGGGCCTGGATGGCATATGCATTTTTATGAGTGAAATTTACGAAGTATGAATTTCGCATCTTTACCCTCAGAGGCAGGACGATTCAATAAAGTTGTACTAGTATTAATTTGTGGAAAATGAGTACAAATTGAATTTGTTTCGTTAAAGACCTCAGTAGCAGGTCGATGTGACGGTGGAAAGAGTTTAACTACAACGTCATGAGAGCTTCTACCCTCGAACTCAGCTCGGTGGTCGCCGCAACCTCGATGGCAGGAGCGCCTTTAGGTAGGAGCTGAGAATGGGATCGACATTGATTGGAGGAACTGGGAGCACAAGCTTCTTCTCAAACTACGTCGTGAAGAGCCTTATCAAGGGTGTTCTCCCATCACTCATAGTCGTCAGGAAGATCGAGCGCACCATCGTAGCTAGTAGGGTACTCGGAGAGCTTCCCCTTGATAGCGTCATAGTTGAGGACCTTTTGATATGCTCCTCGGCCTAGTCCAAGGAAACATTGAAATATTGAATAACGGTCGGAGTAAGCTTCTGAAGGAAGCTTGAAGACTTGCATAAGTCCTCCATGACCTAATCGATTTGTCTATCTTTCTCCTTAAGAGCAGCGTCATGTTCTAGGAGAACCTTGGCTGAGCTGCTATTTCAAGTCGAAAATTGGTCTTTGTTAGCTGGTCATTTTCTTTCTACATGTCCTTCAGATCGGCCATGAGGTCCTCGCGGTAAGAGGGAGAAGAGTAATGCAACTGCTTGTCGAGTAGAGGAACCAGCACGGATAAGAGGTCTATAATAAAAAGAAGGTAAAAAGATATGTTTAAAACAACTACTAAACAAGACCAAAAAGAAGGGTGTACATGAGCAGCAGATTTAGCTGCATACTCAATAGCTGCATACTCAACACGACCTCTCTCGTTGTTGTTGGTCCCCCAACATGTGGTCTCCTCATAGCATTAGCATTATTAAGGTCGTTCGAGCCGGACGAGTTTGTTTACACTACCAAATTATTATTATTATTATTATTATTATTATTATTATTATTATTATTATTATTATTTCAACTTTCCATACTTTTCAACTCCTTGAAGTTTAAAATGCACAACATTTTTCCAACACTAGTTGTTTCCCTGATTCCCCTCACACAACAATTTGAGATAATGATAGAAATAATTTGATAACCTGTTCAGAAAGTTGCATCTGGAAGGGAAACTACAACTGCAGAAATGATAAAACAATACATAACAATGCCAAAAAACCAAAAATAAACAAATAATCTCCAAAGGCATTTCTAGTCTGTAACAACTTACAATCAAACAGTTTGACCTGCTTGGGTTACATTGAATGTACATTTTATTGATTTGCTCCTAATTCCTCAATAGGAGCAGATGAGAGAACTATAATTATGGTTAAGCTATAGCTTGACCAACTTCAAACCACAAAGACTTACTATTATTGACTAGTCAGCTAATAGAGTTGAAACAAGCAAATCTTGGACGAAAACAGCTCGTCCAGCTGCCTGTTGCATTCTTTTTTCACGTTCTTCACGACTCAAAGAATAAAAACTGCAATTGCAAGTGAGAAAAGATTATGAGGCAAGAACATTAGCTAGATACATAAATCTTCGAGGCTCAGAATTACAGAAGTGAAGGATCCTTAGCAAGAAATTTAATACCTTTGTACCAAAAAAAAAGAAAAAAGACATTTAATACCTACCTTGATTTCCAAAATTGTTGAGATGCCGTACTCTTTGCAGAACTTTCCTCTAAACTCGACAGCAAAGATTTCGACACGTCATCGAGTTCGGAAGCAGAGAAGCTCAAAATCAGAGAAGATAGCAAATTATCAGCCACAGCTGATGATGATGATGACAACGTGGTAGTACTTGATCGATATCCATTGCCGCCAAGAAGAACCTGTAAATGGGCTTCTCTTAAATCCCTTCCCAACAGAGATAGCGATTGATTGTTGTTAAAGGGAACCCTACGCGATCGGCTACGCCTCTGAAAGTGACCAGAAGTTAAAGATAAAAAAATTTATACCATTCGAATATGAACTTTACACATAAATGAAATTACTGACTAGAAATATGTAAATAACTTTAGCCTAAAAGAAATTTACATGCTATTAACAATGGAATCTACCATATTTTACTTGGATTATAAATGGAAATACAAGATTAACTGAATATTAACAAAAGGATATCTTCAATAAGTATCCATGTTGGACAGTGATATGGCTCAACATGTCCCCGGTGACTTTAACAGAACAAATAGAACATACCTGCAAAAAATGGTGATATTTAGATGCTAACTAACTGAAATCCGTTACAAGAGCAATTAGAGTATGAGTGACTAATCAATTTTACTTTTTCCAGTTAAAGAGAATCATAGGAGACTTGTCTAACATCTCAAGTTATTTACTCTATTTTCCAGGAAATTTTGTAGACATTTTGCATCAACAAACAATTTAGTATTTCTAGCCCACATAACGAAAGCCTAATTTTGGATTCATAATTTGCATCAACAAACAATTTAGTATTTCTACCACATGTAAAAAACCAACACAATTAGAGTACACAACTTATAGGAAGAGGGATGAACAAGATATACACTGAGCACAAATTCTTGTGTGAGGTGGCGTAATCGTTAGGCGAGTGTATCTGTCGTACATTTTTAACAAAAACGAATACTTATGCTATGAGAACTCATATTTTTATTTATGTTGTTTTTTAGAATATGATATTTAAGTATGAAAATATGCATATTTGACGAAAATGTATGGTTGTCTAACCGTTAGGCTTGCGTCATAGCAGCCTTACTGCGAAATAGTACGGATTGCATAAAACAAGCATTAGAAACAAAATATAGGTCAAAAGTAAACAATAAATTGCCAAAAAAATGATCCAAAATTTAAATCCTTCAACATGTTCCAAAAAAAGAAAGAAACTTTATCCACTCATTCATCTAAGATTTCTGTTTTAGAAACTCTTAATTTGGAAAGTGTTCATATAAATAACATTAGGACCATTTTGAGCAAAACTACCAAAAAAGGGCCACAAGTTTACACTAGAGGAATCAAATCTAAACATAAAATAGCAGGCATCACTAAATTCAAACAAGATCCTTCCAAATTTTCATTAACACTATGTAAAATGTTCAAAATAAATAAATAAATAAAACAAATGCACAAAAATACAAAATCAATCTAAAAAAAACTAACGGTGGGTTTTGATTCGAACGAATGGTCAGCCTCCAGATGCGAGCAAAGTGATGTTAAATCAAACTCCTCATAACAATATGAGCATGGATATTCGGGTCGGACCTCTTCATCGCCTTCAAAATCTTCCATATTTAAACGATCTCATAAAAACTCAAGAT